GACGTAACAATATTATTTTGAGTGTTTACTCTTGGCCTGAGACTCATATTCTTTAGTCTAACTGTAAACTCCTCGAGTTAACGACTTGTGGCTCCACTCGTTACGACAAATCCTCCATTAAAGAAATTGGTGTAAAGGGTAGTTTTAATTGAAACTCCAACAATTAAGCTCACTTGAGTGCTACCTACTACACTAGTAACATGTAATGAGTATCTAGAAGGTTCCTGAAGTTTCGAGGCGCTATTTTGTATATATAAGACCGGCGAGAAGTGACGACATAGGTAGATAATTGAATTGCAGACAGGCAGAGATAGAGACGGACAATTGAGTCCAGCGCGGTAGTAAGTAAAGTGCCTGAGTTGTTTGTTGTGAGTTATAGCGTGTGGTTAAGTGAAAGTGACAGTGGAAATTAAGTCTATTGCAAAGTTGAATTGAGAAAGAATAAACTAGTTTTATTTAAGAAAAGACTTGCATCGCTGAAGTTTCTCGGAAAGAATTTCTATGAAAAACTAACAAACAACACAGACGTAACATTATTATTTCAGTTAGACGATTCACATGTTTAGGGTAGATCGAGAGATGTGAACTAAGGATAAAATGTAAAGTTCAGTAATTATGAAAGCTGCCTATTTTTATTGATGTTGGAAAATATTGTAATATATAGTCAAGTGTTGAAGCTCGTCAGGGCACATGACTATAAATTAAATTCCCACCCACAACTGTAATATGTTGCTAAACTTTTTTTCTTTTCTCACATATGGTTAGTTTTTAGCGCAGCATATCGACTCATAGGATGGGTCTGAGTTTTTGTTTTTTTTTCTAGACAGACTTTTATTCGTATATCCGTTATCTCTTGACCAATTTCAGATCTAACTACAGTTTTGGACTCAGGAAGTCAAACCCTTTCGGTTGAAGTATTTGACTACACCCAAGGTGTCACAGATTAATTTACACTGTCCTGCATAAAATAATTTCAATTTGAGGGTAGGCTAGCAGAGATCCTGATGAGTAATAAAATCGAATCTGGTATACGTGCGACCCACGCCTGGTATTGCTGGCGTACAAAATTATAGCTAATGAAAAGGGGAAAAAAGGTGTCGTATATTAATTCACTCTAATCCTACCTAAGGGAATTTCAAATATCACGGCAATTGAGATTTCCTTCGTGTATTATAACATTCCTATAAAGTATGTCAAGGGAAAATCGAATACTAGCCTACCTTTCCTAATGGAAGTGTGTAAAGGTATTAGTCCCGTAGTTTCATCAAAACCCCTTTTTTGTACTTTATATTTATTTTTGTTTTTATAATTTTTCTTTACGTATTATCACCTGTGCTTTCACTATGCTATTAGTATTACTAAACAGATTTTATTTTTTCAACTGAGTTTTGTTTATAACACTCACTAATACTGATAGTAATAGTAATTACAAATTTCGTATGCCTGTCCAAGAAATTTAAATTATAATTATATTTACTTTTTGAAAGTTTTTCATTATTCATTTAGTGGAAAGTGGTTATAGGAGCTAGTCTATACTGGTGTAGTTTTTTAACTTAGTATTCTATTAATACTAGTAATAAAGTATTAACTTTTTGTTGATATTAATATTAGTGACATTACTAGCAGATGATTCTTGGGGTAGAACTAGAAGGATAGTCTTACACTTGCACTGTACGTTACAGGAATAGGATAATATCCCATAAATTTTAACATATTTTCTATTGAGAAAAATAGGTGAGATGTGTCCCTACAAAGTTTATGAGATTATCACAAAATCAGGAGAATCAATAGGGTTAAGGGCTCAATTTGAAATTGAAAGTTAAGGCAGTTAGAAGAGTGAACCAGTGGTGTAGTGGCAAATTGAAGTGTGTAAACTCCCCTTCTAATGTTCTACGAGGAGTAGGTTAAAACATATTTAAATTTTAAGATTTATGGAAAACAGACTAGGCTTCAGTTAAGACAGTTTTATTTTTAAATGGCTGTTTTTTTCCTTTAGGATAACAAAATACATATTTGTTAGTTATTTTATATTCCAACTATTAAAGGAAGGAGAGGAAGTTATATTCCTTTTTAGAATTTTCATAAGTAAAGTACAATTTTAGGAGGTATTGCATACAGACAACAAGTGATCATTTGGTCCTTCAAGGAAGTAATTCCACACCAACCCTTATGAAATGTAAAAAATTAAACACTGTATTTTTCAGGAAATTGTTGATTCCACCCATAAAGTGTTAGTCTCCATTACTGTTGATAACTTATTCCATAAATCAGTCACCATATTGTGCAGGGGGGGGGGACTTGTCTTGATTGGAGCCTTGCATAGTCTTTTCAAATCTTGAACTTGTGTCCTCTAATTTTATTATCTTCAGTTTGTAACATTAAGAAATCAAGTCTTTTATCCTATCAGTTCCTCCAATAATCTTCTAAACTTCAATAAGATTTTCTCTTACAAGTTACACTTTCTTTTCTCAAGAGAAAGTAAGTTAAGAGATCTTAATATATCCCTGTAAAAAATACATCTTTGGAATCCATCCTACTACTACTAGCTCTTCTCCAAATACCTTCCAATAGGCCAGTATTCCTTTTTACATAAAGAGATTAAAATTGTATGTAGTATTTTAAGTGAGGTCCAACTAGTGATTTGTATAGAGAGCTTGCTAGCATACTGAAAATTCCACTGGACCTGTAGCTACTGAAATCCACTGGCCACCAGTTACAATGGGAAATTTGAAATCTTGCCCATTTAATAATGGATTCTGTTACCCCTACTGGTCTTCATTTTTGACTATATGGGGGCTGTTGCTCCTACTGAATTTGAAACTTGTCTATTGGTCTTGTAGCAAAGGAGCTCATTGCTAGAAAAAATGTACTTCTCCTTAAATATCTACTTGTTCCTTCACTGTCCAACAAAATGTACACTCAAATTGAATACAACTTTCAGGATTTTGCTTTTATTAAACAATTAACAATATATATATATATATATTCCTGTGTATAGGTAATCTAATGATGACAACATTTTCTCCAAACGTACATTTGTTGTTGTGTTAAGCTTTTAATAAATTTTGTTACCCATTCAACACATCTCTAAACTGTATAAGATTGTCTTATCCCAAGGTATTTGTCTTCTCATTGACGATTTCTTTCAAATAGATATAATTTAACACTCAAATACTTTCACATTCATGAAAAAAACATTTACAGAAACTGTAATAAACCTTAAACCAATACATTAGATATCACGTGATATTCTAATTCTTGCTCTGTCCACTAATATTGAAACGTTCTTTGTAGCTGTTTTCAAAGCTGTGATGTGGCACCATAAGATTTCAATCAAGGCTTTTACGAAATTTAAGAATTTGAATATCAGGAAATGGATAATGTATTCTTAAGGAGTAATAGGTTCTTAGCAAAATTTATGTTTTTTGGGATGGCTAGAAAAATTATGTATTGACAAGTGAGTTGTTTACAGTCAAAACTTTGTAGCTGTCAGAAATAAAAGTAAATTTTTATATTTTTCTTCATGAATTAAATTAAATCTCATCAGATATTCCAAATGCCTATTCTAAAATATTTTTGAGTTAAAGTTCTTGAAGTATAGTGAGAATTCATATATATATATATATATAATTTTTAAAAAATATTTTTTTTAATAAAAAATTATTTTTTTTCTTCACACGAAAGTATGGAAATTTTATTTGAGAGAAAAGCATACTTAACTTTTATGGATTTTTTTTTCAAATTTGGTACACTGATAGATCTTTACAATCTACAATTAGATATCAAATTTAGTCTAAATATAAGCCACATGTGCAAAGTTATTTAACAAAAACCACTCAATTTTAACCAATGTTTTTGTGCATGCCTACACAAAAAGTCACATTAGCTATTGGTATGAAATATTTACTACAGCTTCACCTAAAAGAAGATGGACTGTTTTTAGTTTTTTGTCATTCAGATTAAAGATGGCTTATTTAGAGCAGAAAACTAGGGGTAAAGCATGTGCAGATAGATACATAAGTATTTGTTAGGCCAAAGAAACTAGATTAGCAGTTTCTAGCTCACGTTTTCAAAAGAATCATATTGGTGGATGGTTATTATTCATTGCCAACTTTTAAGCACAAATTTACTAAATTTTATGAAATTATCTTAATTAAAGTGTGTTTAGCATCATATGATATTAGCTTAAGCAATTAGCATAAATAATGATCCTTGATACTGCTATATTGAGTGCATGCAGGTGATGATGAGAAACTGTTAATCTAGTTTCCATAGCATTACTATAAAGGAAGTTATTAACACTGTATTATAGAGGAAAACTACCACCATATGTTTTAAAGAACCTTGCTGGTTTTGTAGTTTATAGGTTTGTCCTTATTAATAGGGCTAGATCCTAAAACTAATGTTGGTTACTATCAAGTATCACTTTCTTACTTGCTGTGGTTTGTTGGGGTGTATTGACAAAAAAAAATCATATCTAATATCAAAAACACCTTAGGTGTGAAAAAAAAGGTGCAGACAAAAAAGGGTTGAGTGTGTGATTTAAAGGAATGTAATCAAAATTTGTGGCCAAACTGCTAGCTACACCCATAGATTGATAAGAATTTTACAGCAAATGTTCATTCATTAGTTACCTAGGCCATGCATTTTGTTTTACCCACCATCATGCCCCAAGTTGATAGGTTAGGTCATTGAAAAGAAAACTGGATATATGGAAGAAAACAAGGTTGTTAGAGTTCAGGCAAACAGAATTAATGTCACAAATGGGATATCTCAAAGCTCATTGTTAGTATCTTTGCGTTTTTTGATTTACACCAGTAACATAGAGGAAGGAACAGTCAGAAGATTATTTAAATTTGCTGCTCATGACATTAATGTTTTGGGTTTTACTGGCTATGAGGAGGATGCTGCTGCTCTACAAAAGGATTTGGTGAATTGGGCAAATGAATGGCAGATGGCTTTCAGTTATAATAAACTCAAGGTAATACACACAGGACATCACAATTTGAATTCTGAGTATAAATTTGATGGAAATATATTTAACAGTGGTATGTAAGAGAAAGATCTTGGTGTTCTGGTTGATCAGTTTCATGAGCCATTCAAGCAATGTTCTGTTGCTATTGGCAGGCCAAATACTATTTTTGTTTATATCTACAGAAATATTGAATAAATGTCTAAAGTGGTTATAATATCATTGTATAGGTCATTAGTTAGTACACATTTGGGGTACTATGTTCAATCTTGGGTTCCTTATTTTAGAAAGGATTGAGTTATTGGAAAGGGCTCAGAGGAGGGCATCTAGGATTATACCTGTGATAGAAAGGAAAAGTTAAGATCTCTGAACTTAGAGGGGATCTGATTTAAATCTGTTTAAAATTGTTAAGGGAATTGATAGTATTGATACCTTATCTTTTTTCACATTTAATGGTGAGAAGGTTATGGTTAGGGGACACCTGTGAATTTTGGAAGGGAAAGAGTCATCTTCAGCTAAGACAGACAGCTTTATTTGTTTAACACTAGTAACAGGGTGGTTGGCCTATGGAATGGGTTACTTTCAGATGTGATAGATGTAGTTAAGTTAAGGTAGCTTAAGGGATTGTGTGATAAATATTGGAAAGATAATGGCTGGCTTGGATTTTTTTAGTGTTTAATTTAGTGGATAGGAAGGTCTTGTTGTCCTTTAATGTTGTATGTTAAATCTCTAAAGTCTAAACACATTGTTAGTGTCTGAAAGAAGGTAAAGCATGAAACTTTACCATGGCAACATTTAACTGATGTTCATATTGTTTTATAAGCAAAGAAATAACCAGTTATTAGTTGAAGCCTTAATTGGATTGCTGTAGACTCAAGCTGTGTTGATTTCAGAAAACCTCAAAAAAGCTTTTATGGTAAGTAATAGCCCAATCCAGTAAAATACTGACATTTAATGTTTATTTTTGATAACATATGGTAGTGTAAGGATGCCTGGTTGTTTTTATTAGTTTTTGAAAATAATGGACCTGCACCTGCTTATACGACATTAAAAAATACAGTTTTTAATTTGACTAATGGGATCTAGACCCTCTACCCTAGATCCATGTCTACTTATACAACATTAAAGAATACAGTTATGTAATTATAAGTCAGAAACATAACACAATGTAAAAAAAAAACCAGTAAATTCCCACTTTATTTAACATTTAAGTAGCCAGAGAGTCGGCAATGATATTGTTACATCTCTGTATGTTTGTTTGTTAATTCTTCA